TTCTGAGTGTTTTATGTGCTGCAGAACAGGAACCTGCTGTAAAACATCAATTATGCTGAGTCAGGCTTGATTTTTAATCATCTTTTCCTGTTAAATAAATCAAATCAAATCAAATCAAATCAAGAGACTTCATCAGTCTGATGAAGTCTCTTGGAGGAGAGACGAAACGTTTCACTAAAGAAGAACCCATCCAGAGGACCTATTTATTTTTGATTTTTAGATTTTTTTTCTACCTGTATTATTGAGATGCATCAGGAAATCTTAAAGTAATTTAAACCTTTTAGGTTTTTCAGAAGAAAAAGCATTAGTTTCAAATTTATTAGTAACTGATCATAAATTTTAATCTTTTTTTTTTTAATTAAAATTTCAGACTGATGTCCATTATGATTTGTGCTTTTGCTTTTAAAATGTATAAATCACCTTGCAGTCACTTAAAAATAGCTCATTAGTTTTTAATCCATTTACAAAAACAATCTAAACCCAGGAGAAAACCTTGTTTAGGCTGTTCTTTATGTATCTCACGATCATGGGTAAAAAAGAAAGAAAGGAAGTGGGTCATGGCTCTTACGGTTTATTTAGAGTGTGACAGTGACAGGTTGACACATGGAAAATAAAAACGAAGGCAGCCTGGCCATTTTCAGACAATTCTTGCAGTGTAGCTGTGACGGCTCTAACTGCAGGTCTTTATTTTTCCACCGTAGGCCTGCGTGACATTAGCTCATCCCTGACTGCTGCTCCTGCTGACCTTCAACACTGCAGCTCACTAATAAATCCTCCTGACTGGATGCTGGCCAGGTCTGACACAACCTGGGCTCAGTGTACAGCAGCCTTGTTTAAACTAACACCAGACCCTTTTCAGCAGGTTGCTCATTTGTTTTAACCAAAAGCTGCAGAAATTGATGATGATTTGCTGTGTCACTATAGTTCATTAGTCTCACTTTATAATTTCAGGCCAGTCATCCTTCCTCCATGTTGCTCTGATTGGTCTGTTGGAGCTTTTCTGACTTTGTGTGTGTGTGTGTGTGTGTGTTGGTTTGGACCTTGAGCCTTGGCACAGTTTCACCACATAATACTATTGTGTTTTTACACAAAGATCTGCTGAGTCAGCACCAAGAAACAGTAAGGTCCACACACCTGCAGGACAGCTGACAGCTTCACACACAGATTAATTCATCTTAAAGTTAAATAAACATGCTGTTAGTTACATAGAATAAAAGTTGAATTTTCACAAGACTTTAAGCTGATTAACTTTACAGACCAAGTTTAAGGAGATTCTAAGGAAAGAGTTCCCATCAATGATGATTAATTGATAATTAATGGTCCCATTAATACAATATACTAGAAACTACAAATATAAATATTAGTAGAATTTATTAGTGTGAATGGGAGACCAGATTTTAATGTAGAACTGCGCCATCAAGTGGTTAAAATGTTTACTGCAACACTGAGTTTTAGGGCCTGTTCAGTTTTTTTAATCGTACATTCACAGTTGACCGTGTTTAAAGTAGTTAAGATTTTTAGCAGATGTGTTAAAATAATTCTCATTACTAACCAATTCTGACAAGAAAAAAATAACACAATGTATCTAATATCTAGTTGAAGAAATAACAGATTTTATACATGTTATATATAACGGACTCTAATATGATATACAGTGGGTATAACAACTCATCTTTTATTAATTATTTTTTTAATGTCCTGTACTGGGAGAACAAAATAAAAAACAAAGATCGACTGAAGAGACTTAAAGCATTATAAAAAAATTATTAGAGCCAGTATGCTCATAAAATCACACACACACACACACACACACACACACACACACACACACACACACACACACAAACATTTAGGCAACATGACGCTAAATGTTTCCACAAGCATAAACACTATTCAATATGAACAGTTTTAAATTTCGTTCTCCTGAAATATTCCCAGTTTATGCAGTTTTATTTTAAACAGACCATAAGTGAATGGTTTAGACGTGAAAAAGGATTTAAAAGCATATGTTACCTTTAAAATTAAATTATGTGAATAACTTATTGTCATACATGACAGTGTTTTTATTTCATTTCTTTACATAAATGACATATAGTTTAAAATTAATTGAGTAACAATTGCTCATTATAATCATGTCTTTTAATTGTGGAGGTTTTACTAAATACTGAAAGTAAAAGTAAAAGGTACCTGACAGTGGTGGACAAGTACTTGAGTAAAAGTACTGACACTCATCATGGTCAAATCTTACTCAACTACAAGTAAAAGTCGCTCGGTCAAAAATCTACTCAAGTTAAAGTACTGAAGTACTTACTTTTGAAAATACTTAGGTATTAAAAAATACATGCATTTAAAAATACTCAAGTATTCAAAAGTACAAATTAAATTGTGTAATATCAGTACGTTGCTGTATTGTTTTTCAGAGTGATTTTACAGAACCTTGTAACGCTCAGAAAACACCTGATGTACTCACAGGTAGACTCTGCTACAAATTCTACATCACCTGTAAAGACTTCAGCATAAAAATGCAACAAAGTGGTGAGTTCTTAAATGCAGAAATGTAGTTTATCCACGGTGAAAACATAAGACATTTAATCAAAAAGAAAAACATAAGACAATTAAACTGATACAAAATATTTTTCAGTCTTAAAATCTCAAACATCGAGCTGAGATTTGGCCATTGTTTCTCCATTTGAGTTTCTTCAGCCGTCTCCATTGCTGGGTTCTGTTTGAAATGAAGGTGGAGCTCAGCTCGCCACCGTTAACGAGGATGATGTTACACACATGGTTAAGAAGAAATAACCACTGCCGGTGTAGTGAGTTGTATGGGGACATTAAGGCACATTAACTGACTGCTGGTGGCATTTTCCACACTGCTTCAAGTCCTCTCCATACATAAGGACCCCTGTCGGCATCAACAAAGACAGTGCTGAATGCGGTGGGTTGCCCTAATATCTCCCTGATCAAAATCACTACTGCGCCTCTATTAAATGAGTTACTGTCAAGGTTTTCATCTGTTGAGCTCAAACAGAAAACTCCTCTCTTCAGTCTGAAGTGTTTTCTGGACATTAATAAATACCAGGCACATCAGGGTGAGGGATCAAAGAGCTTACGTCAGGAGGTACACATGGTAACGTCTGTGGAAACAACAGAGGAGGGGGGTGCTGGAGCAAATGTAACAGCGGTGCCTGTTGGCGTCTGTAAAGCAACCGGGGGCTCGGCGGGACGGCACGGCACAGGTTTGGTGATCTTCATGGGGATGAAGGCGTTGGAGGCGCAGTGCTCGCTCAGATACTCTCCTCCTTTCTCCTCGTAATCCTGTCTGCTAATCCACCCCTCTGCTCCCACCGAGGCCGGATGCTCCAATGCCCAGTCTCGTGCTCCGCACCAGGCGTCCAGGGCCAGCCGGCTCGCCACGGTTACCTGAGAAGACGTGTTCAGCTGAGCTCAGATAAACAAAACCACTTTAACATCTCTGAATCGTCTCGTTTTGGTTTTTCACTATTTATGTATAATAATAATAATAATAATAATAATAATAATAATAATAATATTTTCAGACATTATCGTTTTAATTAACATTAATTAACATTATTAATTTATTTCTACATTCCGTTTTGACCCTCATAAAAAGGTTCACTAAATTAACAACATTTCAAGTGGAATATTTTAATAGCAACAATTTGCTTATGAAAATAAAGCTTTTATGCACAACAACATACAGTAATTGGACATTTTGTAAAACAGTCAAAACTGTTTTAAAGTGCCTGTGACATGTCTATTCTTCAAATACAAAAAGTCAAAAAAAACATATTTATTCTTAATACACATGATTTTACACATTCTGTCACATAACTGGCCTATTCTCTTTTGGATTTGGCTCAGCAAAGTGAAACAGGAAGTGACATGAAAGGGGAACTCATTAATAAAATAAACTCTSTGGTCTTTATTAAAACTTTAATTCTTCATCATCTCTTTGATAGAAACTCAAAATAATCTAAAGAAACATCAGATTCTTCTCTACAGTCTCTGTTGTTGGCTGTTGTAACAACGCTCCGTTTACATGCAGACATTTCCCTTTGACATCACTTCCTGTTTCTTCACACACAAATGTCCGAACAACTGTTCATCTCAGTGGCGCGAAATTTGTTTTGCAATATTTTATCAATGTTCTTTTTCCAAAATGCATTCATTTTTATTAGAAAAAACATGTCACAGGCACTTTAAAGTGTTTTTTTTAAGGATTTTGTCAGCACCTTGAAATGAGACTGGAAGGGCCTCATGGCCAGCAGCTCCCTCTCAATGCGCTCCTTCATCCCTGGGTACTGCATGTTCCCTCCTGTCAGAAACACGTTGCTCACCAGCGCCTCCTGCTGCTCAGATGTGTACCTGGATGTTGTAAGCATTAAAGAAGTTTTTACAAAACAAAATAATCTTAAAACTTGTTAGATGATTGTATTGGAATGACTAATTCTCCCTTAAGCAATCAGAAAAAGCAGCTTTTTGTATCATTACCTGGCCAGGACGTACTGCAGCGCCTCCATCAGCCCCATCTGGTCCTCTCCAATCAGCGAAGGCTGGAACAGGATTTCTGGACAGCGCAGACGCTCCGTCCCGACAAACAGCTGGTGGTACTCGGCCATGTTGAAAGTAGGCTGAAGAAAAAGCCAAACTTATTAAGAATGCACGCAAGATTATTGAGCAAAATTACCTACGAGAGCATAAAACTGGACGGAAAGTTTTCCCCGTTGCGGTCATATCACAGCAACACCGAGGCTCTGTGTCTGTCTGAGAACTAACGGTGTCTGCGTGCCACTACCTGGACAACATTAGCAGATTTTTCTGACAGCGTGTCCTCGGGGAAGTCTGACTCCATCAGCGCCACTCCATCTCCCTCATCCATCGGCTGCTCCAACTCCGACACCTGGCAGAGAGCCACAGAACAGCCTCAGGCTGAAGCAGCAAACAAGCTCACTTGACCTTAATTTAACCAGGAAAACTCTGGAACATGCTGGGTGCATCGTGGGAACAAACAGCAACATGTGAAGGTTAAAGCTTGACAATTAATAAAAACAACAACAAATCAAACACATTTCAGTTTCATACCTCTGTCTTCCCCTCTGCTCCGTCGTTCTGCAGCAGTTTTTGTCGACTCTGTTCGACAGCAACCTGCAGCTTGTTGATGTACGACTGCAGCTCCTCGGCTGAATCCATGTTGAGCTCCACTAAACTTCTATGGAACTGGTCCAGCAGACCGTCCTCCAACAGCTCCTGCATGAGATATGATCGTTATGGTTTAGAGTCCTACACTGGAGGGAAGCAGTCTGAACTACAAAAAATAACTGGTTTCTTCTGTTTTAATGCCTAAAACCGTCTTGTTTTATTTGTTTGTTTGTTTTTTTGCTTGGACATTTCCGTATGATGCATTTAAAAGGTGTTAGGTTTTTTAAAGTTTCTTGTGTATTTTGATTTTCTCTTTTCCATGTCAAAACAAGAGATTTTAGATTATTTGTTTTAAGGTTAAAATGTTCAACAAAATCTTTATTTAGTCCGAGTTTTTATCAGGAACACTACAGCTGAAAAAGGAACATCATTATTATTATTACTATTATTATTATTTTGTTTGTTTTTTATTGACCTTTATTGATCCCCAGTTGGGGAAATTCATTTCCTGCGTTTTTCCCATCACACGTGCGGAGCATTTGTTTTATTTCAGTCATAAAACAGGGTTCCTACAGCTTAAGGCAAGTTAAATTTAAGACTTTTTAATGCTTTTTAATGCCACTTGAAAGGAAATTTAAGAACATCTTCACAATAAACACAAATGTGAAAAAGAAAAAATTTACCCAAATGTTTATTTTAGGGCAAAACAACTAGTAGTTTAAAAAAAATTAAATAAAATTTGCCATTTTAATATTTGAGACAAACACAGTCATCCTATTTACAATGTGTTAACATTTTTAAGACTTCTGAAATATTGATTTAAGATATTTTAAGGCTATTTAAGGCCTTATTTTTGGATTGATGAATTCAATGCCTTTTAAGACTTTTTAAGGATCTGTGGGAACCCTGAAAAAACAACTAAAAGTCCATTAAAAAAACTAAGTAAATCAATTACTGAATGAAAAGGGTGCAGAAAGAATAAAAAAACTTATATGTGCCCCTTATTAAAAAAACAACTTTAAACAAACTTTGAATAATCTCCATATTTAAGCATTAGTATATAGAAATAATTTACTGTTTTATATCAATTATTGGTTTATAAAAACACCCCTGAAAAGAAAAACACATTCTAATATTAAATTAGACACCAGGTTCTTTACCTGCACAGTCATAAGTCTATCCAGCCTCTCCTGGTCCTGCTGCAGCTTCTCCTCCCGCCGACGAGTGTTGATCTCCTGAAGTCGCCGAAGCTGCTGAGCTCGGCGTTCCTGCCGTTCCTCCACGCTCACGCAGCCACCTGGTAGCTTCCCCGAGAAGGGAAGCTGCATCCGGTGAACTTCTCGCTCATAAAAGCCCGGGCAACGCCACTTTTCAAGCTCTGCAAGTGAACAAAGGAAACGCGTGAAAAACAGGGTCCGAACGCATCTTGAAACCGGCAGAAGCGTCTTTGACGTGCGTTTTGCTCAAATACGGACTGCACCTTTGTGATAATCCACCGCAGAGTAACTGTGCTCGTGCAGCAGCTCCTCCATGCGGCTCAGCGTGATGGCAGCAAGGTGACCTGGGTATTTGAGCTGCAGGAGGCGCTGCAGGTAGGATGCTGCCTGGCTTCCTGCCACATTCACACGCTTACAGTTGAAAGCATCCAACCTGAAATAAACAAAATACATCAACAAAGTAACAATGTGAGTGTCAATATACTAAGACGGAAGTAAAAAAGAAGCAAAGAGGAAGTTTTTTTTGCTGTTTTTTTTTTCCAGAGGCTCACCTGCCGTTGATAACAGGCAGGATGTGTGAGCAGTGGTACCCGGAGGACAGAACGATGCCGGTGTGCGGCGGCTGGAGGCTTCTTTGAACGTTATTGTGGTAGAAGCTGTATAAGCCATCCACGCCATAAGACACGAACGGAACGCGGTAGCATTCAAACAGCAGCTCTGACATCATCTGTCGACAGTGCAGCGGGTTGCAGGGCGCCTCTGTCATCACGATGGGGTGTTCCACGCAGCCCTGGGTATGAAAGAGGAACAAACACGTGTTTAACCCTCAGATAAATACTGTAGAAAACCCGCCTCGCAGCTGATGAGAGCGTTCTGCAGGTGCATGTTTTGAAGTGTGCGTCTTGCTGGTTTTTTTTGGACTCCCCTCTAATGATTGCATTGTTCATTAGTCCCCAGGGACATTTAACTCTAAAGGAAGTTACTCTTTCACGTTTTTCATTCATTGGATTCTGACATTTTATTGCAGATATGGGTGATGAAAATGCCGCTCTACAGTTCAACAAGCTTAAAAAGCACGTTCGGCCTCAAGCGCTCAATCAAATGGCACTAAAATATAATATTTCATCGAAATACTGACTTTCACGACAATCTGATGACAAAAGCGTGGTTTCTCAGAGCCAGAAGGTGACGATGCTATGACAGACGCAAAACAGCAAAATTATTTTCTCTTTGATTCTTTTTTTCCCTATTTTGTTGTACAGTTGTTGACTGCATGATGGCTTTAGATCATACCATTTTTGTTATTAATTAAAAATGCGTATGAGCATGTCATTTTTTAACTTGACCTGCTAATTTTATACAATTAGCTCTAGAAATAAAAAAGCTATGTTCATTTTTTTGTTTGTTGCATCATTTTCTGAGTTTTTAGCAAAGTTTTTCAAGACAAAAATTGCCATAACTTCCTTTTCTCATCAACAATCTAGACAATCTTTGTGTCAATCTCTAAGTTGTTTGAAGCTCTATATATTGCATTTCTATAAAGAATAATTCGTGGGCTTTTTTGTGTCTCATTTACTGTAAAACTTCACCCATGAAAGAAAACAAATCCCTAAAATGGTTGGTTAATGTCTGTGTGCTGTATATGACAAGGCGGTAATCCCAAAAGGTCAGGGGGGTTGTGCATGCCTTCTGAACCAGAAAAATAACTCGGGTCTGATCCAGAATCCAGTTCAGTTTTCTGGTTCTCCACAAACCTCCGAAGTGACGCCCAGGTGTGTGAACACGTAGTCGAAGATCAGCTCCTGGATCTCGAAGTTAACCACCACGTTCCGGTCGAACTGGCTCTTGAGCAGCCACCGCAGCGGCTCCAGGTTGGGGATGTCGTTCCCGATCTGAGTCTCGCTGCGGGCGGCCCCTCTGCTCCGAGCCGCCACGGACCTGAAGAGCAGCCGCGGAGAGTCCAGCTCCCCGCCGGTCCCTGCCGGAGCCGCCCAGCCGGCCCGGGTCTGAAAGGAGCCGTTATCGATGACTATCGGGGCCGGGGTGGGGCTCAGACACTGTGCGGGGAGCTCATAAATCGCGTCTGGAGTCGCTTTACAATCTTGGAATGAGAAAATCTGGCACAACGGCGTCTCTTTGGAAGCCATTTTTCAAAAAGGTGTCACCGCAAAATACAACCGGAAGGAAACTTGGTGTTGCTGACTTTCTTGTTCCGGTTCCACCTCCATGGTTTTATTACCTCCGTGGTTTTATCATATCAATTTTCAAAAAGGCAAATATAAATAAAATTTATTATATTGGAAAAAAATATGCTTATAAAAATGTATAGATTGCACATTTTTACACAATATAACAAACCTCATTCGTTTATATGTGGAGAATTATAATAATGAGATTTTTTATTTGTTAAAAAATGTGGGTAAACTACACATTTTTTACAGCCTCAAAATTACAGCAGATGTGAACGCTCAAAAAATTAGACTTAGTTTTTGGCATCTGTTTCCTAGTACTGCTGCTAAAATAAACTGTTGAGCCATGACTCAAGCTATATAGCCTACCACTTAAATCAGTATAGCTGCACACTTAGCAGGCATATACAACAATTGTATACAATAAAGAAATGTTCCTACCTCTGTATCTTCTAAAAGCAAATACATCATTTATGCTCCATAATGGGCTTTCTTTCTGTCCTTTTAAATTACAGATACAAGCTGTGTGTGTTCATTTCCACCACCAGGGGTCATAAAAAACAATGTTATGAACAGAAGCAGTCTCAGTGAGTCACATTGGTACAAAATACATTTTATGTAATCAGTTTCTGGGTGTGTCTGGACTGATTTTGTAGGTTCTACAATAAACAGTTAATACTAATATAAAATATGCATGTGAACAAATAAAAAAATGGGGGCCAACAATGGCCTTCTCTATGGACTGGGCATTGAAAATCAGCAACAACACCAAATGCTGTGACAGGGTAATTCTTATTTAGATGTTTTTTAAAAGATATCAGAGCAATAATCTCTGCCAAATAATCAACAATAGCTCCAAGTCTGAATGCAGTTTGTAAGAAAAGATTAAGCCAGACTGTTGTTGAAACAGATTATTTCCCCCCACAGGCCCTTTCTCCTTTTTCTCTCTGTCTGATTTTTTTTTCTCAGCTGTGTGGGCAAAGCCTCAGCTGGATATATGGGACACCTGCACATGAGAGCCACTGTACATCCTAGTCGGATCAGATCAGACGGTCCGTGAACGTGCTGGAGATCCCACATTTGTATTTCCTAAACTGTAAAATCTGAATCTGACTTGTTTAAGATAACAGATCACAGTTTTACATTGTCCGTCCCATTTTATGTAATCAAACAGATTATGATGAACACAATATAGTTGCACAAGTATTGCTAAATTCATCTGTTGATTTTCCCATTTTCCTGATTTGTTTTAGTCTTTGGCTTTTCTAGAAATGCTGTTTTACAGTATAACTACATAAAAGAGGCTAAATTTTCTATGATTTCAAGTCAAAATATATTTTCTTTTGTTTATCATTATCACTGAAATGGGGTTTGATTCCTGGATAGCAGGAAAGCACAGATATTTAGAAGCAGATATTTAGAAGCAGAGTCTAAATGTAGGAAGGAAAGAAAGTGTGTGTGTGTGTGTGTGTGTGTGTGTGTGTG